CTACCGGCCGACAGGGAGGTCTACGTGAAGATGCCCAACGGCTATCCGGCCTCGGTGAACCAGCACATCCTCTCCAAGGTGGGCGACAACTGCCGAGGAGACCTGCTGAAGCTGCTGAAGGGAGGTTTCGGCTTGTGTGAGTCCCCGCGTCTCTGGTACCTGGAATATAAGGCCACCCTCAAGGAGATTGACCTCCACGAGTTGAAGCTCATCCCCGGCATGTTCGTTGCCTTCTACCCTGACGGGCGACTTCGGGCAGCAGTCACCATTCATATAGATGACACCAGGTACGCCGGAGATGAGACAGCAGAGGAGATCTAGGAAGCCCTTCATAAGAGGTTGAAGTTTGGAAAGCATCGAATGGCCACGGAAGGATGGCAGAAGTTCTATGGCGGCTACGAGAAGCAGGACCCGGAGACCTATGAGTTCCTCTACACGATGGAGGAGTACATCACGAAGATTCCGGACATCGAGAAAGGCGAGTGGGATCCTAAGCTTGGGCCGCTAAAGGAAAAGGAAAGGCTGAAGATTGGGTCCATTTTAGGCCAGGTAAACTGGGCAGCGAGGCAGGGGCGATATAATCTGTCCTATGGAGTTTCTCATTGCCAGCAACTGGCCGGAGCTGGCATGCGAGAGGCGATGGAATGGACGGCCAAGCTAGTCACCAGGGCGAAGAAGGACGTGGTGGTGCGGGTGCCTCGTCTCGGCTGCGACTTGGAGAATATAGTGGTGATCTCCGCAAGTAACGCGGCCTTTGCCGCCCAGCCTAAGGGCCATTCACAAGGTGGCCTGATATGCATAGTCGCTCACCCTAATGACCTTAAGAAGAAGGCCCCCGGTTGCCATTTTGGAGGCGCAGAGCATGAAGATCCAGAGGGGGTGGTCCGCTACAGCATAAGCGCTGAGTTAAGCATGGCTGCAGAGAGTTTTGAGCATAGGGACTTCATCCGGGCTATGCTCGCCGAAACCAGCTTCAAAGATTTTGACATCCGCCGCTAGAAGTGGTTCGCCAACCGCTAGAGGCATTATTTGGTCATTAACGCCAAGACGGGATATAATGTCCTGGCTTCGGAGGCCACGACAAGTGATCGAAAGATCCTAATCGATGCGGCCGTGCTGAGGGAGACACTCACAGAGGAGGGCACGAGCAACTATGTCCGTTAGATGCCGAGAAGGGAGATGGTAAGCGACGGCCTCACAAAGTGGGGCGACAATAGGGTCCTAATCCGTGTGATGACGGAGGGCCAATGGAGTTTGGTCGACACGGAAGAAGCCCGCCAGCTATTGCGAGAGGCTGCAGAGCGCAAAAGGCGCTAGAACGACCACACGTAAAGATCGTAAGGGATTTGTGTAAAACCATCCCCCTTTACGTCTAACGCGTAGCCACGGGATTCAAGAGTGAAAACGGCCGCTATCACTTTTTAGTATAATATTATATTTCTATATTTCCCATTCCCCTTTATATTCCTCAATTAAAATACCTAGAGAAAAAAAATGAATTTTTTTTTTTGAAAAAAAAAAAAAAAAAATCACTAAGAATATAAATCGTATTTTTCAAATACCACCCCTTTAAATTTATTATTAAGCGCATAAAAAAATTATAAAATTTTCGATAAGATATTCATAATGGATTAAAAAATTATCGTTTTATACAATAATAATAATCATAATATAATTTTTGAATATATATATATATATAATTCTTTTTTTCAATAAATAATTTTTGAAATGGCTGCACCAGATTTGCCAGGCCTTAAACACTTCATATTTTTTATCATTTGGGGAAAATAAATCACAAGAACTTCCATTGATTCCTGGGACCAAAGCCGCGCATCACTTCTGGGAGTTGCATTGCGCTTGGAACGGATCACCTGTCAGGTGCACTTATTGGCCACAGTCATTGCGACAGATCTGGGTCAAAAGATGCTTTCAAAACGTTGGTCGAGTTCTGGCGACCCTGGCCTTACTACTAGGAGCAAGAAGCTACTACGGGCTCCTGGCATCGCTACTAGGAGCAAGGACGCTATACTAGGGCCTCCTGGCCTTACTACTAGGAGCAAGAAGCTACTAGGGCCCCTTTCAAAGATTTCTGTCTTGACCCCCCCCCCCAAGTGAACTTTGGGAGCCTCCGTTCGGAGGGATGTGATCTCCGCACGTTGACCTGAGCTAAAACTGTGGTGGAAGCATGGTGGCGGAGGAGCGTTGCTGGGGCACGGACGTAGAATTTCTTCTTCCAGCAAAGTTAAACGTGCACGCCTCAAGACCAGCGGCTAAGAAGAATGCTGCCAAACTCGGGAATGTCCGCGGCACATCATCTAGCACATTCGGCATATCTTCTGTCCAAGATATGAAACCTAGACATCTTGCAAGAACGCCAGCAAAAGGTCTTGGCTCTCCTAGGTCTTGGACGTGTCCTCTCATTTCTAGTGAACCAAAAGAATGTGCTCTTCTAAAAGCATTATCCTTACTTAAGGCTTGCTTCCAAGAGTTCTTGCAAGCTCTGTTTCTCGAATGTGTTCTTTCGTGTTCCAAGACACATCTCTGCTCTGCTGGCAGCAGCCTCGCTGCGGACTTCCTGCGATGCGCTCGTGCATGTGGCGAGCGCTCGTGACGAGCGAAGATCACTTCCAGCGCTGACGGGTCGCATCTTCGACGTGACGAGCCTCTCGTGCATCCTCTTGGCGCTGGCGTTCAGCCTCCTGGCATGAAGTTGATTGGCGAACAGATCAACGGCATGAAATACAGTGTTGTCTTTGCTTGATTGTTTACAGTAGCGATGGCCTCCAACCATACAGTTAATCAAAGCTCCAGAAAAATTGCTGCGAAGATATCGAAGTGCCTTCCACTGTCTGTTGCTATAAGCAAGGATGCTTCTCGGAGGTGTTTGTCTTCGCCTCACCGAGCCCTTCGTCACTTAGTCACGTAACAACATGTATCAACAATACTTCATGCCATTTCATGCCACAAAGCCCTCATCTCCTTTGACCTGTGGTACTCATAGATCAGGGCTGTGCCCGTCACACCAAAGACTACAGCTTCACCTGAGGCGTGCTCAGCTCTGTCTGCCGCTCTGATCCACGGCTCTGATCCACGTTTAAAACGCCCAAATTCGTAGGCCGAAGACCCAACATGGTACATCCGGCCTTGCGCAACTTTGCACTCTAGCAAGTCACTTTGGCCAGAAAAGACAAATCTCACGCCTGCACGGCCTGATCATGAGGGAGGTTCAAACGATCCTCGGAGTCGACTAGCGCCAAGGAAGCTAGTAACAAGAAGCTACTAGGTTGGAGGCCATCGCTATTTGGTTGGAGGCCATCGCTACTACTAGTAACGGGGGCCTTACTACTAGTAACAAGAAGCTAATTACTGTCGCAATAAATAAGCTTAATGATCCTTGGAGTCGACTAGCAAGCCTTAAGCACAGTGCCACTTCTTTGGCTTCGGATTTGAATGATTTGGAGCTCGCAACAAACTCGGACGGGCCCCCCCGACCGTCTGCATCAGCCGCGAAGCGGATACACAGCCGTTCTGCCACAAAAACGCAAAACATGATCGAGTCTACTCAGAGCAATATTGCATGAACCGTAACTTAAATGGCCAAGAGATGAAATGCTTCAACAAACATGGCCTTGTAGTTCTTGAAGTTTGTAATTATTGACTTATGTGCACCATCTCTTCATGATACTAGTAGAGGCCAAGATTGACTCCAAGATTCATATCTATCGTGCTGACCTCTTCAGAATGGCTCACCAAACATCCCAATCCCATGTGTTCCTGAGATTTTGTCAACCATCATCAACCCGTCTTGCCACAAAGTTACAATGTCTTGCCAGAGCTCCTTCTGGAACACGCACCTTTGTTTTGCCAAAAGAACGGCATAGGCAAGCAACGGAAAGTCAAACCCGAAGCACACCAACACTTCGCATGAAAACACAGAAGATGCCATCCAACACATCGCCCAAAACCCTCTGTCAATCTCCTGAAAGCTTTGGCTCCGCTCAGCTGCGGCCATCGCCAACTTGGCGACTGGCCGTGCTGCCTGACGGATGCCTTACACGAGGCACGATACGCAAATTGGACTTCAACAATTTGTAGTAAGAAGATGCTATTAGAAACAATAAGCTACTAGGAACAAGTGCATCGCTTCTAGT